GGGGGGAGGGATGGGGAGCACAGGTGAGGGATGGGGAGCACAGGTGAGGGATGGGGAGCACGGGGGGAGGGATGGGGAGCACAGGTGAGGGATGGGGAGCACAGGTGAGGGATGGGGAGCACAGGTGAGGGATGGGGAGCACAGGTGAGGGATGGGGAGCACAGGGGGAGGGATGGAGAGCACAGGGTGAGCAGCAGGAGCACAGGGGGAGGGATGGGGCCAAGGAAGAAACCCCCCAGGGCCCAGCAGGGTGAAGCCTCACCTCCTCCAAACTCATGGCCTGCAGTGATGCCATCTCCTCCGGTGTCAGCAGCGGATCTGTGACAGGCTGCTGTGTCTTGTGGAGCAATCCAAAGATCTCCTGCTCCAGTGGAGTTCGTGCCTGTTGGGACAGTAGATGTGGCAAGAGGATGAGGAGAACTACAAGGGCCAGTGCCCATCCATTCTCACTGCCCCCAGGTAGGTGTGTGGAAGGCCCGGGGAAGCGTCCCTGCCTTGGGGGACTGGCTGGTCACAGCCTCACCAGAGGTCCCACACCATGGCACCCTCCCAGCCACACGGGCAGCTGGGGGCAGGTGATTCCTCCCACGTTACAGAAATGGCCTCAGCTGCCAGGCAGCACTGACCAGGTGGCACCACACAAGGAGCACGGAGCAGGAGCTCCAGGCCACGCAATGCCACATCCCTCCAAAACAGAAAGGGACCTTTGGGCACATCAGTGTGACAGGTTTGTTGGGAGTCCTGCAGAGGCTGCCCCCCCTCACCTGGGCATCTGACAACCCTCAGGGATGGCAGTGGCTTCCTGTCAGCAGCACAACCCCAACATGCATTCAAAACCAAACACATCCCTCTGTTGTAAGGATTGTTCCCAGGCACGCAGGACTTGGCAAACCAATCCCCTCTGCTCAGCCCTTGGGACACTCCCACGTGTCTTGCCCTGAGAGGCTACAAGGAGCAGAGGGGACAGAGCAGGCTCCAAACCCTCTGCTCACACCTTCCCTGGCCTGTCCCAGATGGAATTTACCCACCTCACTGTGTGAGGAACACAGACTGCCCTTCCAACCTTCCTGAGCTCAGCCCCAGGCTGGGCCTTCCTCACCTCCATCACTGCCCCCAGCACAGCCAGCAGACATCGACCTGCCCCACCAATCCTGGAGCCACCCTGAGCCACCCTGAGCCACCCAGAGCCACCCTGAGCCACCCCAGAGCCATCCTGAGCCACCCCAGAGCCACCCAGAGCCACCCTGAGCCACCCCAGAGCCACCCCAGAGCCACCCTGAGCCACCCTGAGCCACCCAGAGCCACCCTGAGCCACCCCAGAGCCACCCTGAGCCACCCAGAGCCACCCCAGCCGCAGTGACCACCTTCCATGTGGAGGTGACTCTCTCCAGAGGGGTGACGGTGGCGATGTCCTGCCGCAGGGGGAACACCAGCTGCTCTGCACGCCGGTTCTGCAGCACCACCTGCTGCCACTTGCCCACGTCCTTCGAGGTGGTGACGTAGGCGGCCTCCCTCACCACCTGGAGGGCAGAGAAAGGCGATGCCGGCATCAGGGAGGGGCAGGGGGTCCTGGGGGGATCAGCTCAGACCCCCTTGGCTCCCTGCACTCACCCTCTTGGCCTCCTCTTTGCTCAGCGGCAGCTCCACCGCCGCCTTCCGCTTCACTCTGACCAGCTCCTTCCTCACGCTGCCCAGCGTGGATTTGGGATGGATGGGCTGCAGCAGCTCCGACAGAACCAGCTTTTCCCCAGCACCTAGGCACGGGTGTGGCACTGCCAGGTGAGGGAGCTGTCCCGGCCCTCACGGGGCTCTCGGTGGGCAGCCCTGCCCCTGGCTCACCTTTGCAGGTGACGTTGAACTCGGACACCTGCCCGCTCGCCTCCGAGCGCTCCGCCAGCTTCCGCCTGCGAGGGAGGGACACAAAACAGCCCCAAGGGTTCCTCGTGTCCCGCGGCTGCTCCGGGGGCTTTGGGGCCGGGCAGCGCCCCACCTGCCCCGCTTCCAGCGCAGCCCCTCGCGGCCCCGGGGCCGGGCAGCGGGAGGCCGTGCCCGCACTCACCGCTTCCGTCCGGACAGGGCGCTGATCGCCTCCAGGAGCCGCCGGTGCCGCCGCTCGCCATCCTCCTGCCACGGCACACGCGCTCACAGCCCCGGCCCCGCGGGGATGGTCCCAGCGGCCGCTCCCGCCCGCTCCCCGGTGCCCCCACGGCACCGCCCGGCCGGCTCCCGGGCCCGACATCCCCGGCCGGGCCACGCCGTCCACCGCTGCGCCCATCCCGGCCAGGAGAGCGCCCGGAGCCCCGCAAACAGCGGTGGAGGCCGCCCGGAGAGCCCGTCGCGTTCCTTCCGGCCCCGCTCACCCCCTCCTCGCTGTCGCTGCCGCTCCCGGCCGCCGCCGCTGCCGGATCCTCCTCCGCCATGGCTCCGCACGCCGGTACTGCCGCAAAGCGCCACCGAGTGTCGCGCCGAGCCCTCGCGCCCTGCCGCAAAGCGCACCCGCGTGACGTCCGGGTTGCCATGGCAGCGGGCCCGGCGGGCGGGGCGGGAGAACCGGTGGGGACCGAGGGGGGCCCGGGGGAAACCGGAGCGCGGACACCGCCGTCCCGGCCTCGGACAGGACCGCCGGGACAGCTCTGGCTCTCCCGGAGCGCCCCCGGTTCGCCGGGCAGCGGGGGCCGGAGCAGCTGCTGACCCTCGTGCGTGCCCTAGCCCCGGCGATTCCAGCGCTCGCTGTTTTCTCCCGGGACGCGCCGGTGCCGCGGGCTCGGGACGGAGCTCCCGCACCTACGGCTCCTCCCGCCCGGCCGGATCCGGCTCTTGGGAGCATTTCTGGGGCTGGAGGGATTCAGAGCATCGCTATAGCGAACACACGGAGCTCTCAGGGCAGTGTCTGTCACTGCGCCCGCAGCATCCGTCCTTGTCCCCTCTGCCGCCCTCCTCCTCCACACCGGGCCGGGCACCGGGGGCTCGGGGCAGGGGCTGCCGGAGGGACGGCGGTAACGAGCTGTTCCCTCGCGTCTCCATAGCAACAACCGCGGGAAAACTTGTGTATTTTCCGCTCGGGTTTGACGCTCCGGGCCCCGCCGCTGCCGGCAGCCGCGTCCCCGGGGGGAGCGCTGTGTGTGGGAGGGGTGGGGTGCCCCGAGGTGCGGTGCCAGGGATGGACGGGATCCCGACCCCAGTGCCTGGCTGTGCAAAACCGTGTCAAAACTATTGTGCGAAACGTGGGAATGTCCGTGCGCTCCCCGCGGCGCTGCGGCTCGGCAGCCCGGTTCTTGTGGGCACCCGGTGCGAGAAAACGAGAAAGAGGAACGGGAGGCGGTGCCGGTCGTGCCCCGCCGGGGGATGCACCGGAAGGTCTGGCGGGAACCGCCGGGGTGGGGCCGGGCCGGGCCGGGCCGGGCTGGGCCAAACCGGGGCCCCACCGGAGCCCGCACCGCGCCCAGCCCCGCCCCCGCCACGTGCCGCGCCCCGCCCCCGCCCCGCCCTCCCTTGTCCGCACCGGGGCGGGGCCGAGCGCGCGGAGTGGCAGCGGGCACGGCCAATGGACCCGCGAGAAGCGGCGGAGTGGGAGGATCTGCTGAGGAGTGACAGCGCACGCGCCCAATGGAGCGGCGAGAAGCGGCAGGGTGGGAGGATCTGCTGAGGAGTGGCAGCGCGCGCGCCCAATGGCAAGGCGGGGAGCCAGGGGGCGGGGCGGAGGGCGCGGCGGGGCCAATGGCCGCGGCGGCTCCGCCCCGTTGGGCCGCGGGGCGTGGCGGCCCCTCCCGGCGCGGAGGGAGCGACCGGCGCGGCCCGAGCGGCACCGGCACCGGGTGAGCGGCGGCGCGGGCCCCTCCCGTCCCCTCCCCTCCCGTCCCCTCTCTGGCCCTTCCCTTCCGCTCTCTCCCCGCCGGGTACCGCCACGCCCGCAGAGCCGGGGCTGCCCTGCCCTGTGTGGCCCGGCCCTGCCGCGTCCCCTCCCGGTGCGGAGCCGCCCCGCCGCCCCCTCCCGCCCAGCCGAGGGGCTTCCTGCCCGCGCCCCGCGCCCCTCCCTGGCGGATTCCCACGGCAGCGCCCCTCCCGGGCGCGGGGTTTCCATGGCGACGGCGGCCGCCGCCCCCCGCTCCGGTGCCGCCGCCGCCCCGGTGCTGACCGAGCCCTCTCCCCGTTCCCTCTCCCGCAGCCGCCGGCCCAGCCCAGCCCAGCGCGGCCCCGCGGGGCCCCGATGATGCCGGGCGCGCGGGCGGCGGAGCAGCAGCAGCAGCGCCCGAGCGTGCGGCGGCCGCTGCCGCCCCAGTGACGGCCCCGCCATGTCGGTGATGGTGGCGAGGAAGAAGGTGGTTCGGAAATGGGAGAAGCTGCCGGGCAGGAACACCTTCTGCTGCGACGGCCGGATCATGATGGCCCGGCAGAAGGGCATCTTCTACCTGTCGCTCTTCCTCATCCTCGGCACCTGCGCCCTCTTCTTCGCCTTCGAGTGAGTTCCCCGGGGACCCCGCGGGACGGGGACGGGGATGGGCCGGTGTGCCCGAGGCCCTCGGGCCGGGGAGGGGAGCCCGGCTCGGTGCAGCCTGGCAGAGTGTGGCTCTCCCTATCCAGATCTGCTTCCTCACCCTCGGCTGACTGAGCCTGGAGGTTCTGGGGAGAACGGGCCCTGCCGGAGCCGTGCCGGGGGGTGACGCTGGCCCCGCTTCCCCGTGGGTCACCTTCTGTCTGGGGCTTGGCAGTCCCGAGTGTTCCGGCCCCAGGGCAGCGGGCTGCGAGGGCACTGCTGCTGCTGCTGCTGCTGCTGCTGCGGCCCCAGCCCGCGGGGGCACCTGCAGCCCCCACATCAGCCCCAGCGGGAGCTGACCCCGGCTGGAGCATCAATAAGGAGAGAGTTTGGGGGTCCTGCCAGTGTGAGCTGCCCCCAGGCTGCTCTGCAGCTAGAGCCATGCTGGAATTTGGGAAGGATCCGACCACCCCTTACATCACCTCGGCAGCCTAAAGACCTTCAGCCAAAACCTTTGGTCCTGCTGAAAAAGAGGGGTCTGCCCCCTCCCCTCAGCTCTTCCTGGGACTTGAGTTGGCCTTAGACTAATTCTAAAATCAAAAAACAAGCAAAAAGGGAAAAGCCTGTGTTTGTCTGGGCCGGTGCTGTGGGAGGGGGCAGGACACCCCTGTTGCCTGGCTAGAGGACGAGCTTGGATCAGCTAAACAACTGCAAAACTTCCCTTCCTCGGTCTCCATGGACATGTTTGTGTTCTGGGGCAGCAGAGGGGCTGAAACAGGGTTGGGTAACACAATAGCTCGCAAAGCCAAGAGGAACGAGTGGAGGACCTGCGCTCTGGCTAAGCCCTGACTATTCCTGCAGTTCCAAAAAGCCCTCGGCCCAGATGCTGTCCTCCTCAGCATCGTTCCTAAGCCAGGGAACTTGTTTCCACATTCCCTGGCCCAGTGTGTTTCTCCCTGGTTCCCTGCCCAAATTATCTGTGGCTCAGTCTGAACTCTGAGATACCAAGTGACACCACTCTTGGTTTGATGTTTGGGGTTTTTTCCGTCTGAAAAATGGGGCTGAGCCTTCCTGCCTTACAGGAGGAACTAATAGGTGTTGCTGCTCCAGAAACGCTTACTGCTGCACCAGAAACACTGATTTGAGGGATAATTGCTCTGGCTCCCTGTGGATCCTGTCCGTAGCAGGAGAGTGAACCACATCCCGCTCCGCCGTGGTTGCGCTAGGCTGAGTGAGCCAAGGCTGTTTTCCAGACCCGGGCTGTGGTCAGGAACGTGACTGGAAATTCCTTGAGAAGCCCCTTTCCGTGCTCTGGCAGGCCTGTGGAGGGGTCGCTTGCACCAAGACATCCAGGCCTTGACCTGGAGGGTGGGCTCTGCAGGGGGAATGCTGCTGGGAACAGAATCACTTCTGAATTTTAGTTAAATCATCTGAGGGAGATAAGGAGAAGTGTGGGAAAATCCAAATACCCATTTGATTCTTTCAGTGCAGAGCACCTCGGTGTTTTTTTTTGTTTGGAAGAGAGTGGGCTGTTTTGAACTTGTTTGGGGATTTTTGAATTTGGGATAGGGATGAAATGTTGCCTTCCCAGCTGGAAACACTCCCCAAGGTCTCTGTTTCACTGATCAGGCCAAGATAAGCAGCTTGGCTGCTCGGGAGTCCTGCATGCGTAGGGAGCTTTGGGTGAGGATCTCAGCCTTGATCTTTCACCGTGCTGTCCGTTTGTCTCAGTGTTTGGCTGATTCTTTAGTGTTTGCGTGGGAATTCCTGGTTTCCCCTTAAAGTTGGTGTCTGGGTTGTGAGCGCGGCAGCCGGGGGTGGGCGGAGGAGCCCTTCCCTCGCTGCCCGCTCCCTGCAGGCTGCCTGTGCCGTGTGCTGCTCCATTCAGCTGAATCACTTGCGCAGTGACACCTTGTCTGAGCACGGCTCCTGCTGCCCAGAGCCAGCATCTGGCTGGCTGCTCACCCTGCGCCGGGCTGGGCTCCATCCCCGTGCTCCAGTTACAGCTGAGGCCGGTGGGGACTGGTACCCACGTCAGGAGAAAAGCCACTGCTGTCCCTTCCCAGCGCTGGAGCGATGGCCTCGCTCACGGGGCTGCTGCTGCTGCTGCTGTTTTCCTCCGAGTTTCTCCAGTGCTGCTCCTCGGTGGCCACAGGCTGAGCCACCTCTGCCCTGTGGGTGGGAATTCGTGTGTGTTGATCCCCCAAACCTCAGCGCTGTGTTCTGGGACTGGGGAAATCTCTCCATCCAGGAGCAAACAGGAGCCAGAGGCTGGCAGAACTCAGCGCTGTGCCTGAGATCCGACTCCTCCCTCCTAGATAAGGCACAGGGACAGAGCTGTGCTGGCTCCCGGGAACGGCTCTGCAGCGACCGACCCGAGTCCTCTGCCCAAGGACACCTCTCTCACCACAGCTCCCACGGCTTGGGGCTGCTCACTGCAGAGTCCCAGAACTGTGTTTGACTGGGTCTGCTCCGTAACATATCCCATAAAATACAGTTTCACATCCTCTTGGCATTATTTCAGACTCCTAATGGTGTTTCAGCCCTGTGGTTGGCCACTTAGCTGTGTGCTGTCTGCTTGAGGTGTTCCAGCATGAGAAGACCAGATAAAGCACTTGTAAAAAATCCCTTTAGGAACTGGGATGATGGGATGCAGTGCCTGCTCTTGGGCTGGGAGTTCCCTTTGCAGTTCCTGTCTCTCCTGAAGTGAGTTCCACACTCAGCTGAGGGGAATGGGATTTCTTTTGTCTCTGGCTTTTCAGCACAAAACTTGACATCTGTAAATTTTAAAGGCATGATAGCATCAGCAACACCGGCTCCTCACGGGAAGGGGCTGCTCTTGGATTTTCCAATGCACAGGCATGTTTGTCACTTTGGTTTTCCTACTTTCTTAGCTTTGTAGAGATGAAAGTGTCTCTGTTTTCTGATGAGTTGAAAACACGTACACTGCCCATTGTGTGACTGTATTTTTTAGTTGTGATTTCCAAAGCCCAGAGACCCAAGACTCACAGAGGGGCCTCTGAGCTGGCATAACCTCTGGTTAGATCTGTGTAAAACATGGTCAAAACTTAGATGTGAGTGTTAACGTGAGTTTTCAGGGGGTTTTTAATAATTATAATTTCTCTCAATAGAAGTCAACTTTTTGGTGTCCAGAGTTCAGCTTGTTTTGTTCCTATTTCTGCGGGAGGTGGCTACTCCTGGGGTTTGGATTGACCTTTTTTTCATATGTGGGCTCCTTCTCAGGAGATGACTTCACCCTCCCTGCAGCCTCCACGTCCCCTGTGGCACCCCCATTCCTGGGCGGACCTTGGGGTGATTTGCCTGTGCGGAGATTTGAGATTTTAACCGGGAAAAGAGCAGTAAGATCGGCATAACACGTCTGTGTCACGTGTCAGAAACACACGGGGTGCGCTGTGGCACTGCCAGCAGATGGGGAGAGGTTCCAGGGAGAGCTCCAGCCCTGCCTGGTGCTGCTGGGAAGGGCCAGGACACAGCGTTGTGGTGTGGCCAGGTTGGAGAGCAGCTGCAGTGCCCTGCTGAGGGTCAGGCGCTGGGGAAGGACACGGCTCTGCTGGCACTCAGGCCAGGCACACGCTGGGGCTGTGCTGGGCTCAGGAAGGTTAAACAGGTGACATGTGGGTGAGTGGCACTGCGGGGCTCATGCTGAGCCCTGCCTGGGACATGCACTGCCCTGTGGCCGTGGCTGCAGGCCCTGTCAGCAGGGCTGGCATGGTGGCTTTCCCCTTCCTCCAGAGCTTTGCTCAATGTGCTGATTACAACAGACCTTCCCACAAGCACCGTTCCTCATGGCACCTCCCAGCTGCTTCTCCCCCTGCTCCCCATTCCAATGATCTCTTTGTTCAGCCTTCCTGCCCCCAGCCCACCCCGCTGTGATGATGACTTGTGATAGTGCTGTTATTGTCTGCTTTTTGGTGACAAAATGCTCCAGAGCACAGATACGGTGCTGGGAATGGGGGAGCAGCATCCTCACATGCCAACAGAGCATCTCTGTGGGCCCTGAGCTCTCCCAAACAAAAGATCTTTAAACGTCTGTTCCTGAGCAGTGAAATGGCCTTTGAGACAAGGCTCAGACTGAAGTTACCCCAGTGCTGGTGAGTACCTGAGGACCAGGTCAGGACCTTGCGAGGCTGCATTCCCTGCTGTGGCCGTGTTCCCTGGAAGTCACTGGGGAGCGAGGCCGGGTGGGCACAGCAGAGGGGGAGGCACGTGGTGGCAATGCAGTTTCACCGTGGTGGGAGCTCCTCTGGCTCTCACCTCTGCCCTCACCTGCAAGGGGCCACAGAAGGCAGCCCAGCTAAGGGGGCTCATGGCTCACAGCACAGCTCATGGATCCGTGTTTAAACCCACAATGTTCATGTTGTCACACATGAACGCAGCACAAGTCACACAGCAGTTCCAAAAGCTCTTGTATCAGCTGGACAAGGGTCAGGCTGCAGCCCTTTGGGGCACACAGTGTCCAGCTTTTCAAAGAAGAATCACAGAATCATTTAGGGTGGAAATGACCCCCAAGACCATTGAATCCAACCTGTGACTGGTCACCTCCTTGTCACCCAGCCCAGAACACTGAGTGCCACATCCAGTTGTTCCTTGGACACCTCCAGGGGTGGGGACTCCACACCTCCCTGGGAAGCCCCTTCCAGTGCCTGACAGCCCTTTCCATGGAGAAATTTCTCCTGATGTCCAACCTGAACCTCCCCTGGCACAGCTTGGGGCTGTGTCCTCCTGTCCTGTCACTGATTGCTTGGGAGAAGAGGCTGACCTGCACCTAAATCCATGTTCTGTGTTCCTAACCCCATATTTCTACCCCAAACGGGCTCCAAGGTTTTTGTTTACTTGCTGACTGACTGGCAGCTGTCCCTGGACTTTGCCCTTGCACAGGGAGTGCAGAGTTATCTTGGGCTGCCTGAAGACGATAAGTTCTGCCCTCCAGTTCTTGGGCTGTGGGCAGGGCTGGGCACAGGGAGGTTGTTTTGGGGAACAGCAGAGTGTGCAGTGTCTGAAATGAAGGATGTTGGTTTAGGGGCCGGGCCCTGTGTGTTGCTGTGGGCTCCCGGTGCTGCAGCTGTGACTGAAGTGTGCTGTAGCTTCAGTGTGCAGCCCTTCTGTCCCTGTCCCACGTGGGGGACAGTGCTGGAGTCAGGCAATGGCCCAGGAAATGTTCCTGCAGCGGGCCTGTGTGCTGCCAGCTGGAGCTGGGGACTGCATTGTGTTTGGGGAATCTGTGGTGGGAATGCTGTCCAGAATGAAATTGTGCTGTGGAGGTGATGGAAATGGCCTCGCTTGGGATGGCAGCCCCCGCAGGGAGGATAATCCCTGGCCCCTCACTGCCATAGCCTGGTGCTCCCATGGAGAGTGACTGTGGAGCAGCAGGAGCCTGGCTGGATCCACCCCTCAGCAGCAGGGATAAAGGGTGGATCCTCGAAAGCCTGGGTGCCCAGCTGCATCAGGAGGCTGGGGAAGGGAGCAGTGGTGAGACATGGCACAAGTGGTGGGGTTTAGGTGGGGTTTCCCTTACGCCGTAGCAAAGCTCCATAGGAACTTCACCCCAACATCAGCAGGGTTTTCTGAAGGAATCAGGGTAAAACACGACAAAACTAAAACGTGACTTCTGCCCAGACCTCCCACACAGGGAGTTCTGCAGCACCTATGGGGCTGTGGGTGTCCAGGAGCAGCACAGCCACGGTGAGATGAGTCCCATGCTCCCTTTGCATCTCCTCCATCAGTGGGATCAGCACTGTAAACTCCTCACTGGGCCATCCTGCATTTACAGAGCAAACAAACCTTGTTCCCTTTTGAGCTGGGGGAGTCTTGAAGCAGGAGCCTTTCTGCTTTGTTTGGAGTGTTCTAGTCTGTTGTCTCAGGAAAGCCAAAGGAAGCCAGATGTCTTGTTGCATGGGAAAGTTGTGCTTCCACAGGAATCCATTCCTGAGAAGCACAGGATGCACTTAATCCCAGTAATTTCTGTGGTGCTGGAAGCTCCTGCCCTTTGGGGGTTAGCCAAGGATTCCCACCATCCCCACAGGCTTCCATTCCTAATGGCTCTCCAGGTGTGGGGTCCCTGACCAGGCCTTGGGTGCTTCTCCCCGTGGTCCGGCCCATCCCTTGGAATAGGAATGGAATGGACAAGGTCTCTCCAGCCGCTTGTGTTTCTGGCATTGCTCAAAACAGGAGCTGAAGACAGAACAAAGGCTGGGAAGTACCTGTGCCTGGCTGGTGGAAGACATGGAGATGCTGTGATGGTGCCCAGTGGTTGGATGTGCCCAGGAGTGTTCCCCTGTGGGGGTGGGATCAGAAGGATGCCCTGAGCTCTGTGCTCCAGATCCAAGCAGTGCTGCAGAGTGCGCGGGCTCTGGTGCTGTGGCAGCTCTGACTCACGGTCCGTGTCCGCAGGTGCCGGTACCTGGCTGTGCAGCTGTCCCCGGCCATCCCCGTGTTTGCAGCCGTTCTCTTCCTGTTCGCCATGGCCACGCTGCTGCGGACGAGCTTCAGCGACCCCGGCGTCATCCCGAGGGCCCTGCCCGACGAGGCAGCCTTCATTGAGATGGAGATCGGTGAGTGTGGAGCGGCCAGGCTGCTGAGGGCTGGAGAAGCCTCTCTATTATTGCACATTTCTAGGTTACAGTCCCTGCAGAGCTTATCCTCCTGGCTGGACCTCCAAAAGTGAGGATTGCCCCAATCTGCTGGCTCACTGTCCTTGGCCGAGTCTCAAGAAGGCGGCACGATGTACCTGCGTCCCTCTCTGGGAGCTGCTTTCTCTCCCATAGCCGTGTACAAACTCAGTTTGCTTGTGAGAAGGGGTGCAGAAAGCTTGGCATGGTCCCCTTGATCCTTCAGGGAGAGAGGAGCTTTGGTGCATGCAGGTGATAACACCCAGCCCACTCTCAACATGCCCATGAAAGCTCTGGCATCCCTTTTCCTGCCTCCAAGCTGCCAGGTTGGCTCTGGCCCGCGGGAGCGGAGCCGCAGCCTCGGGCTGCGGAGCCAGCGGGCTCGGATCCCGCCGGTGGCAAGGCAGGGAAGCGAGCTGTCGTCCAGGCCCGTCGTGCCGGAGCAGCAGGTCCCATCCGTGCCCGCTTCTCTCTGGCAGAGGCCACCAACGGGACGGTGCCGCAGGGTCAGCGCCCGCCCCCGCGCATCAAGAACTTCCAGATCAACAACCAGATCGTGAAGCTCAAGTACTGCTACACGTGCAAGATCTTCCGGCCGCCGCGCGCCTCGCACTGCAGCATCTGCGACAACTGCGTGGGTGAGTGCGGCTCGGGCCGGCCTGCCCCACGCACGGGGACAGGGACAGGGACACACCGCGGCCAGCTGTGGGCACCTCTGGCCCGGGGCAGTGTCCAGGCTGCCTCATCTTGCACTCGAGGAGCTTGAGGTCCGCTCAGAACCCGGGGCCAGGTGGTTCCTCTTTGCCAGGACTCTGGCAATAACCGAGTCCAGCTGCTCTGTGTACGCGTGTGGCCCATTTTTGGGTTCTGCTGGACTCTGGCCGTGCAGGACTGGGGGGGTTCCAGGGCAGAGTTGTGTCTCAGGTGACAGCAGCTCCTTCATCAGCACAGAGGTTGTGCTGTTCCCTGGGGTGCCCTGGTTGTTGTCCTCCTTCTGTGTCCTCCTAACATGTTCAGCATCAGTGCCCCAGGCAGAAATCCCATCCTTTCGGACCCCTTTCCTCCTCTTCAGATTCCCAACCTTCATGTGTTTATGCAGTTTCTTGAACCTTCTCCTGATTATTCCAGGGTAAGAACTTGGGGACACCCAGGCTTTCATCTAACCCACATGCTGTGGTTGTTGTACCCCAGGGAGAGAAGACACATGAGGGGTCAAACTCAAATTCTCTCTTAATGTGCAAAATGATTCATTATAAAGCAATTTTGAACTTTGACCTCCTGAAAGGAGGCCAGGATACGGGGTCCCGACTGAGCAGAGGGTTGAACTTGCCAGTTTGTGTCAGCCTGGGGGATTTTTGAGGTGGGAGCACAGGAGCAAGGCTCTGGAGGTGGGCAGGGCCGTGCCAGGGCAGGGCTGATCTTCATCTTGGCTTCCCCAGAGCGCTTCGACCATCACTGTCCCTGGGTGGGCAACTGCGTGGGGAAGAGGAACTACCGCTACTTCTACCTCTTCATCCTCTCGCTCTCCCTCCTCACCATCTACATCTTCACCTTCAACATCGTCTACGTAGCACTGAGTGAGTCTGCCTGGAGAGCTGGGAGGGAGCGGGGCTGCAGATGGTGCTGTGAAACCAGAGTGATGGAGTGGGAAAGGGAACTGGACCCAGGGGGATGTTCCAGATGAAAAAAATCTTTTTCTGTTGCAGAATCTCTGAAGATTGGGTTTCTGAACACGTTGAAGGAAACCCCAGGGACATATCCTTCCATGGTCCTGAGGGTTTGACTCCTCCAAAACTGGGGGTTGGTGGGAGCTGTGCTGTGGAGTGGCTGCCTAGGCCACTCTGAGTCTTCCCAGCATTTTCCCCTGGATGTCAATGTGGGGAGCAGTTTCTTTGCTTTGGGGAGGAGAATAAAACAGAAAACAGTGGCTAGGAGAGGCAGAGAGGGTGGTGTTTGTGGGGCAGTAACAGGTGGGCTGGGCCTGCTCTCGGGCTGTTCCCAGACCTTAACTGTTCTCACTGTACTGGAGGTGCTCATCTGTTTCTTCACGCTGTGGTCGGTGGTGGGGTTAACTGGGTTCCACACCTTCCTGGTGGCACTGAATCAGACAACCAACGAAGATGTAAGTAGAGCCTTCCTCTTCCTCTGAGCTGTCACCATTTCTCAGTGTGTCGAGGCTGTGCACAGCACAGGGATCTGGGGGCTGGGGCAGGGTGTCCTTGGAGTAAACCTGAGCTTGTGCCCAACTATTTCAGATTAAGGGGTCCTGGACTGGCAAGAACCGTGTGCAGAATCCCTACAGCCACGGCAACATCGTGAAGAACTGCTGCGAGGTGCTCTGTGGGCCCCTGCCCCCCAGGTGAGCTCTTGGGGGGCAGCCTTGACCTTTGTCTTCCACCAGCCCTTCTGCTGGGCAGAGAGGAGGGGTCTGGGGACACGGGGGTCTCTGATGGCGTGGTGTGTTCTTGCAGTGTCCTGGACAGACGGGGAATCCTGCAGCAGGAGGAGAGCACAGCTCAGGAGGGGTCGTGCCTGCGGGGACCCGGCACGCAGGAGCCCCCGGCCACGCAGGGCCCTGGGCAGGCCCAGGAGGGTGGCATGAAGCAGCAGGATGGCAGCATTCCTCTCCCCAGTGCTGTGAGTGATCCCCTTGGGAGCTGGAGGGGCTCTGGGACAGTGAGAGAAAGCTGAAAGTGTGACTTGGGAAGGACAAAACGATAGGAGGGGGCAGTGTGAGAGGCTGCTGCTGAAAAGCTTGTTTTCTCTGACCCTGGAAACCAGCGTGTCTTGGTTTCCTTGGATTTTCCCAGAGGAGATCACAGCTGGCTGCAGTTTTGGAGATCAGTCCTGCCATGAGAGCACTCAGGAGCTGTTGCCCATGGAGCTCAGCGGGGCTGGGGAGGGCTGGGAGGTTGCAGACATCCTGTTCTGGTGCTGTGTGTGAGCTGCAGGGCTGTCCCTGGGATCTCCATCCTTGGAGAAAGCAGTTGTGGCCCTGAGCAGCCTGCTCTGTGTTTGAAATTAGTCCTGCTTTAAGGACACAGTTTGACAGGGGGCCTCCAGCACGCCCTTCCCACCCGAATTATTCCATGAACGTGGTGAGAAATGGCTCGGCTTGGGCATGAGCTGCCCTTCTCTGGTGGACACAGTCCAGACACTTTTGCTGGAGCAGTGAAGAGCTCCAGCTCTTCCTGAAGCTGCTGTTCTGCCTGTTGGCTGGCCCCTGGCTTTGGTTTCTCCTTTTCCCAAGGCCAGCTGAGAGCGCTGCCCGTGGAGGAGCGCTGGGGCTGCGGGCTCAGGCTCTGTGCCAGGTCTGTCCCTGCAGGTCACCGTGTCCCCTCTCTCTCTCCAGGTCCCTGCACCGTCCGTGGCTGACACCGAGAAGCCAGAGGAGAAGCAGCGAACGCCTGGGGAGCTCCCGGTGCCCCCCCCGGACGCTGGGCGAGCGGAGCACTAGCATCTGCTTGGAAGGGAGAACTTTGTTGTTTTGTCTAATCAAAGCTGGAAGTGGTGGAGGAGAGGAGAAGGGCTGGATGGCAGGCACCCGATTCCCCATGGCCATTTTGCTTTAGTCATTACTCACGGCGGTGACACGGGACGGCGAGCGCGGGTGGCACGCCCTGGGCACCGCGGGCACTGCACAGCAGGGCTGCCTGGGGCCGGGCCTCTGGCTCTGCGGGCTGTCCTGGGCACTCCATCCCGCCTCAGGGCTGGGGCTGTCCCTCTGCCCGGCCCAGCCTGCTCCCTCCTGCTGAGGAATCCCCGAGGAAGGGGAAAGCAATGGTGGCAGCAACGTCCTCGCTCCCCTCCTCCCTCCTTCCTCTCATCCGTCGCGTTGTTTCGTGGTTGGCGTGGCAAGGCTTGTCAGGAGACAGTTTGGTGGCCCAAGGACCCAAACAAGTGGGGAGTTCTGCTGGCAGCGGTTTTTAAGTTTCTTCCTGTGTTCCTTTCCATGTGATGTAACAAGGCAGCAGCTATGAGGGGACCCTCCCTCCCATCCTGCCCTGGATGGTGCTCACAGCACCCTGGGCTTCGAGGGAGGGAGAGGGCAGCCGGGCTGGGCTGGGCTGCAGGGAGGGGTCTCCTGTGCCAGTGGCTCCTGGCTGCTGCTGGGTGTCCGCACTGAGCCCTCCCCAGCTGTGGCACAGCAGCTGTGCAGAACCTCAGCCCCGATTCTGTGTTGTGTCATTGCACCCCCGTGTCCCCCCCTTGCCTTCCTCTGCTGTTCTCAGCCATCCTGGACTGGCTTTGGGAGCCTTGCATCTTCCCAGGATTGCACCAGCTGCCCGGGGCTGGGCCGTGTGGTGTCGGTCACTTCTGTCCTCAGCAGAGGGGGAGAGGCTGGGGGATGGTGGGGGAGCTCTGTGCCGTGGCCGTGTCCTCGTCCTGCACTGGCAGGAGCTTCACTCACACCTCTGGGATCCCCGCAGAGCTGGCTGGTGGAGGAGAGGCCATTCCGTGCCCTGGCAGCTCCACAGCCCTGGCTGCAGCGCTGGGCACTGCTGTTCCTCCCCACGGGTGTGTGCTGGCTGCTGGGGGTGTCCTGCCTGGCCAGTCCCGTCTGTGCGTCCCTGATGCTCCTGCCTGGCAGGGGGAAATGGCTGCTGCTCCGTCCCTGGCCTCCCGTGCCACCCTGCAGTGGTGAGGAGTGGGCACAGCCAGACCCTGCTCCTGCTGGAGCCTGGCCTGTGCCCCCCGTGTTCCTCCTGTGCCCCCCATGTTCCTCCTGTGCCCCCCGTGTTCCTCCTGTGCCCCCCTGCTCCTC